TCCAAGTCGATAAATTTGACAAGTGTTGTTATATATATATTTTTTTTAAAAGACTAAATAATCTAAATTAATATCCAGCGGCTATTCCATTCTTTCTGAAATCACTTGCAGCTATACGTAAATAAAAGGAATTGATTATTAATAAAAAAAATAATAATAATTTTTTGTAATGGTGTCATTCCAATATATAAAATTATACACATACCATGAATAGTTCCATTTTCGAATTTTCTAACACACTGAACTTGACATCCATAACCTCTATTATAAATACTGTGTATTTTAACCTATTTAAAAAAAAATAAAGAAATTGTTGTTAATATTAATTTATTATTAGAAATTCAAAAATGTAAAAGGAATGTAAGTTATATACTCACAACGTGCCCAATTTTAATAAGTTGTTCTAATATCTCGAATGGAAATCCTGATTCAACAAACAACTATAAATTCATGATAAAATTTAATCATATCGTTCTTGAAAATTATTACGTTGAAAAAAAATTCTATCGCTATGAAAGGTTGTTAATATTTACCTCATTTGGCAATAGTGGGTGGTACAACCTTGGGTAATCAATAGCTTCCAGAACGTTCATATTAAATTCATAAATATTTAATAATGTCTATGGAAAAAAAAAGATTACATACATACATTGTCAAAATCTTTGCTTATATAATTTCAGAATGTACGGATAAATAATCGATTTTGGTAAATACCTGTGTAACTGCTGACATAATTCTGGTGCCACCACTAGCACCAACAGCCATTTCAAATCTCCCATCGGGTCTTTCAATTATTGTAGGTGATGTTGAAGACATTGGTTTTTTACCTGGTGCTATTTAATATATAATAAACAAATTTATATTAATATTTATTATAAAAAAATTTTTTAGATAATTTTAAATGATTTTTTAAATAATTTTCATTTTTGAGTATTTAAAAAAAATGGGTAAAATAAAACTTACCAGGGAAATTATGAGGAGCAGGCCAGAATCTTTCAATTGTTGGTGGTATAGGAATTGCGAAATCGTCCATTTGATCATTAAATAAGATTCCAGTATTTGGATCCATAACTTGTGACCCCCAGAAATGATTAAGCTATTTGTTCAATATTTAATTAGTTAAATTAGTTTGATTGAAGTTTGATTGAGTTTGATTGATATTGCATAGAAATATAATATATATATATATAATTAACATACAGTAGCAGTCATGCTAACGGCCATCTCATCAGCGTCTACGACTGAAATATGAGTTGTGCCATGATCTTCAAGTGTAGCATACTCTGGATCATAGTGACTTGGTACAAATGTATGTGTCTAAAAATTAAAAAGATTAAAACGGTAAATTAAAAATAATGTACGTAATTAACTTATATATAAAATTAAGTAAACCTACATCAGAAATATTGGCACGAATCCTTGCAGCATATTCTTTAGAAATTATTTCATTTATACGTTCTTTGTGAGCAGTAATATTTTTGAACTATTTTTAAAACAATAAGAAAAGTTATTTACAACAATTTCTTTATTTTTTTTTATAATTCGGCTACCTGCTGTTGTTTATTAAGATCATAACTTTTTAACAAATTACAAGAATTTTTTTTTTAGCTATATTAATCTACCTAACGTTCAGCGCACCAAGCTTTCGTCCAATGTGGCCTGCCTCAGTAGTCATTAGTCTCAATCTGAGTTCTTAACTTGCTAAGAACTTTTTTTTCTTCAATCCTTGACTGGCAACTACAAGCCCTTCACTTTGATATAAGCTTTTCTTTTTAGTAAGAAGAATATATATACAAAATTAAAAGACAAAATAAAACAAAAGAAAATAGATACAACAACAAAGTTCAACCTAACTAAAACAAATAAAACCAAAAACAAAAACAAAGAAAAACAAAATAAAATAAAATAAAAGAAGACAAGGAAGATACTATTAAGCCTGTGCCTGACTGTAAAAATTATATAGTGCTACTAAAAACTTGTATAAACTCTACGCTAGTTATTTATGTCTATATTAGGATATATAAAATATCTATTTTTGAGTAAAGATCTAAGTTTAAAATTTCTCTTGCAGTCCCAACGAGTCTTTATTCAGCATTCTGCAATGTATAACTATTTGTTTTTGTTCCTGGGCAAAGTTAACATGCTAGAATACTCAGTATAAACACTGCAACCTCTTGAGGTAATGCGATCAAGCATTATTCATCCCAAAGTATACATATACACATGTATGTGTATTTTCTTTTTTGGCAGCGATTGTTGTTATCGATCTTTGATGGAAGTATGCTGTATTTTCCACTTTTTGGTAAAATTTCGTAAAGAGCAAAGAGCAGGGTGTTAGAAGGAGTTTCAGTTAGCAGGTAGCCGA